AACACAGTAAACATTTGGCAAACACCCTTTAGTCTGCTGAAGGCTCCATTCACCTGCCCAGTCATTTGAAGATTTCAACTTGTACTCGGGTCACATCCACCCAACTACTCTTGCCCCCAAAAAGCCAAGTCCAAAAGCACATGTTGCAGGGTAGTTGGTAGTTGGTAAGTGACAGTAGCCTAAGGAAAATGCTTCAGGGATTTGATGGAACTCAATTTCATGTGAATTACAAGAATAAAGTAGCTGCCAATGAAAGGAAAGACTTCGTGAGCTTCACTGCAGGGAGAATGGTGATCCTTTACCCCAGACAGGAACAAATTAAGTTCCTGGAGAAAAAGATAATCCAAAGCAAATGAAGAGAATGACTAGTATGCTCACCAAAAAAGCATTGCAAACACAAAGTAGCCAAAGGAACAGGGGATATTTAGTCTGGAGAAAAAACAACTAAATAGGCTATGATAATTGTGAAGGTTATGCCTCTAAGCAAGATTTATCCTCTAAGGCTCTGGGGCAGGTAAGAACAAAATAAAATAAGATAAATTTCATTTGCTATAAGAATTCTTAACAGAATTGTCCAGTGGTGGAGTGGGTTATCTCATAAAACAGGAATACTCAAATATAAATTGGATAATCTGGCCAGGCATGGTGGCTCTCACCTGCAATCCCAGTACTTTGGGAGGCCAAGGCGAGAGGACTGTCTGTGCCCAGGAGTTCGAGACCAGTGTGGGTAACTTGGCGAGACCTCGTTGCCACAATAAACCAAAAAATTATCCGAGTGTGGTGGGGTGTGCCTGTAGTCCCAGCTACTTGGAAGGCTGAGGAAGAAGAATCACCTGAGCCCAGCAGGTTGAGGCTACGGTAGTGGTGACCATGCCACTGCCTTCCAGCCTGGGCGACAGAGTGAGACTCGGACTCAAAAACAATTTTTAAAAAAAACCTGGCCAAGACATTCATTCTGTTCAACAATTAGCCCTCTGCTAGGCCGCTGGACATATCCAGTCTGCCTCAAATGAGGGGAGGAGGACTTAAATAATTGCTAAGGCTCTTTTTTCAGTCTGAGACTATGAGTCTATCTGAATTCTTACGATCAATTGCCAAAATACACAACGTTCCTTTCCAGCAGTCCACATTAATAAAATGCTATTTCCTCTCTCAACACTGGCAAACCCAACCAAGGAGTTCTCATCTACGAAGCCCTTTACAGAGAAAATTCCATTCTCAGTGGAAGAGCAGGCCCTAGATTTCACGGACTGTGGCAACACTTGACCCCACCATCCTTAGCTGTGTCTTTTAGAAAGATGTTCCCTCCTGGGTTAACGTCAGAAATTAACATTATCCTCTTCTCTGCAGCAGCAGCGCCCAGAGGTGGCAACCCATCCTGTGACCGAGGAACATGCCCAAGAACCAGAAGAAAGTGAACCATCAGTCCGGGCTGCGAATCCCAGTTCTGGGGGGCGACGCGGAGCCCTTACCTTCTACCGAAGGGGAGAAGATGATGAGATTGTCATAGAGGAACTCCCCATATTTAATAAGGGACAGGCTGGGGTCATCAGCAGTCTTGAATGTGAGTTCAAAGCCCCGGTCTGGACGAAAAGAAAACAGGGAGTTGAGGCAGACGGGGCACAAAGGGAAATCCCAGCTGCGGACATCGCGACCCCCACTCCAAGCGGCAGCCCAGGCTAGGCGGCCAGCTCCAGGAAAAATCGTGGGAGGGAGGGTGGTCGGCCTCCGGACCCTGCGCTCACCCTTCAGGCTCCGGAAGAAAAGCGAGTGCGTCTCCCGCAGGTTGAGGTTGTCCAGCAGCACTAAGGTGCGGGGCCCGCTGGCGCAGACCCAGCCAAGCAAGGGCAGCAGCAGCCATAAAAGGGCCCGAGCACCGGCCGCAGCGCTGGGCTCCATCTTCCCCCTGCCAAAGAACCGAGCACCTGGGCACCGGAAGTGTCCCGTCTACGGTGGCTCGTGGCTGGGGAGCACCACCCGGAAGTGATCGGGATAGGCCGGGGCTAGTCCCGGAGCCGCGGCTTTGGCGGCAAGAAGCGAAGAGCATCGCCGGAAGTGTCCCGGTTGAAGGCGGATCCTTTGAACCCTATTGGTGGGAAGGGGACAAGTCCCAGCCCTTCCCAAGGAAAAAGCTCAATCCTAGAGAGACAGCTCTGCAGCCGCGGCCAATCAACAAGACTGAGCGCCCTTTGGCCCCGCCCACGTCCCGAGCCCGCTTGCGGTGGGTGCCGGGCTGCTGGGCAGGGTCGTCGCGTCGCGGACGAGGATCTGCTTACTGGCGCGTCCTCGCCGGTCCAGAGCTGACTCGAAACTGGGAACCAGGCTCCACCTCCTCCTCTGGGGAGCAAGGACGTGGAAATAAGATGGGGCCAGGGCACTTGGAGCCTCCTGCCTGCGCGAGCCTGGCCTGCCCAGCTTGGTGGCCTACGCTGGAGACGGCGAACGGGCGCTGGACTAGCTTTGGAATCAGCTGGGCTCAGTTCTCCAAGCTCCGTCTCTCACTAGCCCTGTTACCTCGGCATTGCGCTTGTCTCCAGATCAGTTTCCTTGGCTGTAAATACCGAAAATGACGAGGTCCAGCTCTCCTACTTCTGTCTTTGGAACAGTCGTTTAGTTATGTCTTCTCTGGGCTCTTGGGAAGACTAAGGCAGGTTTTGAAGCACTTAGCACAGGGCTAGACCGAGCATCCACTCAGTAATGCAGGTCTCCAGGTCAATACCGAGACCACCTGGACTCCTCAGACCTGCCTCTGTCCCACTACGGGTCTGCTACCCCCAGCAGCTTCGAGACTTCACCTGTTCGCTGGGTCCCAGCCACAATCTTAGGGCCAACGGTGGAGGTAATTGAGGAGAGAGAAGATAGTTGTTCTTTTCTGACACGAGTCCACCAACCCAAGAATGAGGCAAAAGTCAAAACCTCCCTCCAGGCATCTCCTAAACAGACTCTATTTCTACCGGCTCAACCCCAAGTTAAGCTTGTTGCCTTCACTCCTGCTCCGAAGCCAAGGCCTCCCACCCTCTACACACAATGTCACATAAATCCACCTCTAACTCAGATCCGACACTAGCCTGTTTAGGAGTCTGCCACAGCTCAGGGACACCCTGAGACTCTTCACTCCCAGGTCTCCACTTCAGATCATCTCAGCAGCCCCATCCTCCTTTGAGCATGCTCAGGCTTCCATGGAACAGGTATGGTCAGGCCTTTAACATCCCCTGAGCTTTCCCACTTCCTGCCTTTTGCTCATGCAACTCCCTCTACCAGGAGCACCCTCCCCACACTTCCCTCTTAAACCTTGCAGGGGCCAAGCGCAGCGGCTCACACCTGTAATTCCAGCATTTTGGGAAGCCATGGCAGGAGGATTGCTTGGGCCCAGGAGTTCCAGACCAGCCTGGGCAACATAGACCTCATCTCTACAAAATACCAAAAAATGCCAGGCCTGATGGTGTGCCCCTGTAGTTCCAGCTACTCAGGAAGCTGAGGCAAAAGGATCACCTGAGCCCAGGAATCTGAGGCTGTGGGCAAGCTGTGATTGACACTGTGAGTTGAATGAGACCGCAACTAAAAATAAATTAATAAATAATACATAAATAAAAGAAACCTTGCAGGATCTTCTCCGTCCTCACTGAGAGCCACACCCAGCTCTGCTACCTACAGAAAGGCACTCTCTGTTCCCCATAAAAACTTGATCTCTCTTCCTCTGACTCAGGATGCGCCACATCCCGCCTCTGGCTAGACTCATCTCTGTAGTTGTCTAAGCATCATCCACCTCAACTTCTCCAGAGCTCCTTGACCTAGTCTCCTTGATTCCTTGACCCAGGCTTGATTGGATCAAAATTGATACGAAATAGGAGGAAGAATGAGGAGGACTGACACGGAGCACCTTCTATGCCCCAGGAGCTTTGCATACTATCTCATTTAATCTTCACAGTAATTTCATGAGGTGGGTGTCATCCCCATTTCACAGATGAGGCTCAGAGGGCAATGAGGCTCGGGACAGCACCAAAGCCCAAGCCTTTCCCCTCAGACTGTGGGGTCCCCCTCAGGGCAGACCTAGAATGCAACTGGCAAGGGTAGCCCTCTAGGTGGAAACAAACAGGGGGGCCCAGATTCACTTCCGGCTCAGGACACCCAGTTCCAGCACAACCCCTGAGGACTGTCAAAACCTGGGCCCTTTCCTGGCCTCCGTGAGACATGGTCCTATCTTCCAGAGCAAGGGCTCCATTTTCCTGGGTCACAAATCCTTTGAGAACTTAATGAAACTTCAGGTACTGTCCCTAGAAAAATGCACCTGTACTCATGATTGCAGGGACCTGAAGAAACCCTGGAGCCTATTTGTTCTAAAGGTCCCAGGCAGTTAAGAACCCCTGTTCCAGATAGCCAGGCAGCTAGGTAGCAGAAGCAGGGAAGGGCCTCCAAGTGATGTCTCAGAGGGCCAGTGAAGGGAAACTTGTCCTAAAAGGCAGTTTATTGGGCAACGTAATGTGAAGTGGCCTGCCCTGGGCCACAGACCAGCCAGGAGTGGGCAGCATGGGAAGAGCTGCTCAGGACTCCAGTGCCATCTCGCAAGGCGGGGCTGCCCACAGAAAGGGGCCAGTCGACAGAGGCACGATGCTCAGCTGCCAAGATGTTGGAGCGTCAAGCCTGCGGCAGTTGCTCCCCATCAGGGCTGCTGGTGGGGGCCGTGAAGCAGGTCAGAGGCTTCTGAGGCCGAAGACCAACACTAGTGGACACGAGAAGCAGGCTCCGTGGCAGCAAAGCGGTGGAAATACTAATGTGATGTGGACAGGTGGAGCAGGCCTCTTCAACCTCCGAGGAGCTCATGCCCCAGGCGGAGAGGACCTCTCTGAGGAACAGGGAAGGGGATGTGTCTTCCCAGGGCTGAGAGACCCCGCAGGCCCCCAGATCACTGTGGGGGCAGGTGGGAGGAGGCCTGGTTGGGGCTGCCCTGGGAGGGCTTGGCAGTCCTGGAAGGCTAAAGGGATGGCAGCAGGAAGCTGTGGTCACAGAGGCTCACTGCCAAAGTTGCTTTTTGCTTTTCTTACGCTTGGCCTTGGCGAAGGGGATGTCAAGGGACTCGAGGCGGAAGGGCCGGGGCTGGGGCATTTCAGGAGCCGGGCTGGGTGGGATGGCAGAGTTGTTGCTGAGTGGGGAGCTGAGGCCTGGCGGCGAGCTGTGGTGCGCTGTGGAGAGGGCAGAGGGCATTGGTGAGCCAGGAAAGAGAGAGAGAAGATGCCCCGGTGGGCAGTGTGGAAAGTCTGCCCCACCCCCACCCAGCAGAGCCCTGGCCTTGTGGCTTAAACCCCAGGCCCTGCAAGGCTGCTCGGGTTGAGGGCTCAGACCCAGCAATACAACATCTGCATCCCAAGGGGCTAGGCCAGGGATTTGGGGTTTCAAAGCCTCAGACAGAGGCAGCCTGGGATCTCAAGCCAGACAAGCCCAGCTCTGCCACTGCCTATAACCTTGAGCAAAGCACTTTGCCTCTCTGAGCCTCGGTGTGCTCGTCTGCATCACGGGCACAATGCAGGGCACTCAGCTGATCCTGTTTCTCCGCTTATTCCTCCACTCCACCCACCCTCTCTGTCTCTCAGCCTCAATACAGAGCTAAGATGTGCTTGTGCCGATATTCTTCTGAAAGCTCTGAGGGCTTTGCGTTTAGTTTCAAAAGCCAAAAAAATGAAGTGATGCTCAATTGTTGAAACCGTGCTTTGCTTTTGTGGCCCTTGGTAGGTAAAGTCCGTCATCCTCATCTGGAGAAGTCACGATGCTGATGTCGGAGGAAGCCGCCAAGTAACTAGTATGACCCAGACCTGGCCGGGCGTAGCGGTTCAAGCCTGTAATCCCAGCACTTTGGGAGACTGAGGCAAGGGGTTTGAGACCAGCCTGGGCAACTTGGTGAGACCTCACTTCTGCAATAAATCAAAAAAATTAGCCAGGCATGGTAGCGCACGCCTGTAGTTCTGGCTACTTGGAAGCCTGAGGTGAAAGGATCGCCGGAGCCTAGCAGGCTAATGCTAGGGTGGCCGTGAGTGTGCCACTGCACTCCAGCCTGGGTGACAGAGTGAGACTCCAACTCAAAAAAAAAAAAGACTCAGACCCGAGCAACCCCAGGTCAGGGCCTACTGTGTGTGCTAAGGGCCTACTGAGTATCAGGAGAGACAGACCCTCCCCACAGGAGACAAAGGGGTGGAGGAAAGAGGAGAGTCTGTACTGAGCACCTACTATGTGCCAGACCCTGGACTGGCCATTTCCCCACCTCATCGCATCTAATCCTGAGACGTAGGTGCAATCCCCCTCATGTTATAGCTGAGGAAACAGGCTCAGAGAGGGAAAGACGTTTTGGAACCCAGGTCTGTCTGACTCCCAAACCCCTTCAAGTCTCTCCCAGCTGGGGGAGGAGCACCAGGGAGGCACTGGAGGAGGGCCAGTGGGAAGACACTCACTGAGGCTCTTGATGAGGTCTGTGCTGAGGATCTGGCTGGCCCGCTTAGACCGGAAGTAGTTGCTGGCAGTATTCTCACTGTCGCTGCGACTGAGCATCAGCTTGTAGCGGTCTTCCTCCTGCTGAGAGTCCAGAGTCTCAGGGGTCCAGATCCCAGGTCCATGCAGTCCTTACCCTGGCCTAGGGCTCAGCATTCTCTGGAAGCCCAGTGGGGTGGGGGCTGCCCTGAGCCTTCCCTAGTCCTGTCCTGGGGCTGAAGTAGTCACTGCCCACGTTGATACACCCACTACAGACTCTGGACTCCTGGGATGGGATCCCAGGCAGCTCAGAGCCAGGAAGTCACCATCTCCAGCCAAGCCTACACCCTACCTCTCCTTCCTCGAGATGAGAAGTGTCTTGCTTCCTCCTGCAAAGCTCAAAACAGGGTGTCATGCCAGCCCCAACAGGGGCAAGGGCAATACTACATACCCAAATCTATCAGGACATAGTCCTCGAAATGGCACCACAGTACTGTACTCAACTCACAGGTACATTTATGATCATTAGACCTGGGGTCAACCTTTTCATCACCCAGGACTATTGTTTTCCACTGCTTTCATGGATGTGTTTTCTTCAGTCTCTTTTTTCAAGGAACTACTTGTTCCCACCTGACTTGGTCCCGGGAGGTGATCATTCACAGTGCTCTATACCACACAGCTGGACATATGACTCCCACCCCTTCGACACTTGTGACCCACACTGCACCAATCAGAGAACTACATCTTTCTGAACATGGTAACTCATCCTAGCATAGCCCCATGAGCCAGGCAGGGCCAATCAGAATCTTCCCCCAAGCTGTGGTCCCAGGAAGTTTCAAGAGGCCTTCTTTTTGGATCATCCCCTGCCAGCAGCCATCTTTCCTGCCATGTGGAGAAAGCCCAAAGCTGGCATACCAAGAGAAGCAGAAACAAGAGGTGAAAACAGACACAGAACCCTGATGGTGCAAGACCCTAGATCCAGCCATGCCTGAAGCTGTTGCATTTACATGAACCAAACATGCCCTATTTTGCTTATAATTGTTTGCTTGTAATCTATCCCTTGAAACTAAAAGCAGGTCCCAGGTTAAGAATTTTTTTTTTCAGGGCAGCAACTTTCCCTTTCTTATCAAATTAAACTATCAAAGCTGCCAATCAAGCTTTAGACCACCATGAGACAGTCCCTGCAGCGACTCTGAGTTGGCTAGACAGAGATGCTTGGAATTCATTAAGCTCTGAGTGGCTCTATTATAACTGTAAAGGTATGTTTCATGTGGACTTTCTGAGATATTTGTAATGGTTTAAGGCAGAATCAGCAAATTTTGGCATATGTATCAAATCTGGGCCACAGACTGTTTTGTTTGTTTGTTTGTTTGTTTGTTTTTTGAGTCGGAGTCTCACTCTGTCGCCCAGACTGGAGTGCAGTGGCCCCTCCTGGCCACCATAGCCTCGACCTGCTGGGCTCTGGCGATCCTTCCGCCTCAGCCTTCC